AGATTAGATCACTGCAGTGGTCTGTTTGTAGGACTAAAAAAACAAGCTGCTCGCCAACCTCAGCTTATTCAGCATGCTGCTGCTGGAGTCCTGACTAAAACTAGGAAATGTGACCACATTACTGCAGTCCTAACATCCTTACATTGGCTACCTGTCACTCAGAGAATTGATTTCAGAATCTTGCTGCTTGTGTTTAATTTGCACTGTGGCCAAGTGTCGAAATATATCTCTGACATGTTTGTGACATATGAACCTTCAGGACCCTGAGGACGTCTGGGGCCGGACTACTGACTGTCTCAAGAGTCAGAACAAAACATGGTGAAGCAGCGTTTTGTTATCATGCAGCACAAACAAGGACTAACCTCCCAGATGATGTTAGACAAGCCCTGACTCTGATCACTTTTAAGTCAAAGTTAAAAATGTAATTTTTTACACTGCCTACTCCACCCTGTAATGACTGCAAACTTATTTTTAAACTCAATTTTAAATCATTTTAAATATATTTTTGCACCTCTTGTCTGCACTTTTGCTATTTTAATGGTGTTTTTTTTATTGTACATCATTTCGAAATTAATTTTACCTTTTATATCTTATTTATCTTTATTCTTTTCTGTATCCTTTATTATGTTTTATATATTTTTTTTATTATTTTTATTTTTTCGACAGCAGTTTACAAAGCAAAACATAAAATATGATGAACAAAGTAATTTCTCCTGCTGTTCAAATTTTTTCCAGTTTAAAAACTTTGTAGAACATTTTGGGAGAGATTAAAGAGACAAAATAAAAGCAGTCAATGAAGTTTGCTTGACTAAACATCGGGTCATAAGGGTCTTGTGTATTTCACCCACTTCACCCAGAAGTTAATGAACACATTTTTCTGAAAATGAAGAGAGAAAGTAATGTTTTCCATAACATAAATATCATTTACAATATCTATCCACTGCCCTAATGTTGGGGTTCAGGAAGCAACCAGCACCTTGTGAGGGCTTTCTTGCAAGCAGATATCAAAACACCAAACATATTCGTCAGAACCCTTTGCCTTGAAATTTATGTTTTATATTTTATTGCTCTGTAAAGCACTTTGAAATGCCCTTGTGTATGAAATGTGCTATACAAATAGTATAATACAAGTTTGTCATATTAACTTAATATGGTGGTAATGTCTCAATCAGTCACAGTGAGTAGGGAACAAACCATTATTAACCAGGATTTAGGCCAAGGCTGGAGTAAAACTGAGAAAAGTTTGTTGTAGCTTTAAAACCCTCAACTGATAAAGCCTGTCATCTCTTCATGTGGCTGAAACCAGACCATGCCTTCTGTCTATATCTTCAGTTCATCCCTGAGATCCCTGTTGATAGGACGTTTCTCATGTTTTGGCTGGATGTGGAAATCCCCCTTTGCTTTTCCAGAATTAGAGAGGATAGTTTATAGTTCGACGAGGATGAGATGATTGGGAGAGCTTGGAGTTGAGACACTCTATGTCTCACACACAAACACTGGCATTCTTCATTCTTTTCCCTGTATAGTATCATCTCCAGCATACAGTAAATGGCCTCTTTCTATCACTTCACACCCAGTTACAAAGAGCCCAGTGAGCCCAGAGTAGATAAAAATCATGTTATCTCATATTAAGAGCAATTACCAAGAGACAAACTCTAAACAGGATCGATTGTAGAGGAGAGAAAGAGAAGCTATGGCCACTTAATTTTGATATCATGTACTGATGTACCGATTGTTTACTCACAAATTGGATAGCACATGTGCTGTCTTTACCACCTGCAGTCAAACACCTCAACTAATTTTGGAGTCATATTTTTATAATCTTTGCCTGAGGATAAGAAAAGTTAACTGTGCCAGATGGCAAACTATTTTTATCGCAGAGTGCCCCCATTTCAAGAAAATTCACTGTGAGTGCCGCAACTGTTGTGTGGTTGGATCCTGGGTTATATAATGGTTAGTAGTAGTGTAGTTGGATGTAAAAGCATCCATCCTGATGAGCGTCTTGACTTATTTATGGGCATGAAGCTATTTGAACTGAAGGGACACAGATTTTTATGTCCCCATTCCTCGTGTGCAATTTTTTTAATGGCTCCTTCAGCGTTGTCAAGGTCAGATGTCTGGATTGTCCTGTTAAGATCTCTGACTGCATTGCTTTAAAGGCTTAGGCTGTTTATAAGGACACAAAGGGAAATACATAAAGAAAGCCACTGGGAATTGTAGAAGTCCCATATCGAGGCAGTTCCACATTAGGATGCATGAAAAGACACAGGGACGTTCGGTAGAAGTGGGATGTAGGATGTTGGGTTGGGTGATATTCAGATATGAGAAGGTTTGTCTGGATGTGGAAAGTAGTGCTGGAACAATTGTTATTGGTAGACATACAGACAATGATAAACAATAATTATGGTAATCGATTACTTGTCTATATCAAGCTTGTTCCAGCTTCTCAGATGTAAGGATTGGGTGCTTTCTCTTGTTGTATATCATCTTGATAAAATGTCTTTGGGTTTCGGACAGACTGGACAAGCAACTGAAGACATCATCTTGGGCTCCAAGATAGTGATGGGCATTTTTCAAGGACATTTAACTGACTAAATAATTCATGGATTAATCCAAAACAAAAAAACTCATCCATGATGAAAATTATAATCAGTTTCAGCTTAGAGTCCGGATCAGTCTTGGTCTCAAGAATGCTTTTTGAAGGTTCTTGGTCTCGTCTTGGACTTGACAGCAGTTTTATTCGGTCTTGTCTCCGTCTCAGGCAAAGAGGACTTGGGATTTTATTTCAAGACCATTACTGTGGGGATATCATTAAATTGCCTGTGCAAAAAGGAGTGCTGAATATAGGTGGTGAAGTTTTATTTCAGCTCCTTAGTGTTCCTATTTGTTTGCTCATAAAAAGAACAAAGGAACAGTCCCACACATGATTACCTGTTGATTATATTATCAAGACATTTCTTATGGGTCACTCATATGTCATTAAAGCGGTCACTGGAGAGGAATCATAAATGCGTCTCTCAGATCAATTTGAGAAGCACTTATTGTTTTTGTGTTCTTCATTTTATCGTAAATGTGTCATGCAGTGTGGGACTCGCACTGGTCTGGCCTTGGTCATGATGAGGGCTGTACCTGATTCAGAATTGTGTCAGTCTAATCAAATTTAGATGTGTAATACAAATATTCAACGACTCCTTCAGAGTGATGGCAGCATTTATGTAATATAGTAAACAAGCTAGCGATGCTAACGATGAATCAGAAATGTGCATCATTTTTTGCCGACACTACATATCAAGCGAAAGCCGGAGACTGTGTTGTATTAAGTATCAGTTAGCTGTAAATCCATCACTTCCAAGCAGAAGAGAGAATATAATGATATCTTGGTGGATTACGGTGGAAAGTTTCTCCTCCTCCATGCTGCTGCATCACGTCTGCAGCTGTCTGTACCGAAGAGTAGCTCACTCTGCAGCAAAATCTGGTGACCAAAATGTCCCCAGAGGTACATTGCACAGCACACTGACTAGCAAAAACAAAACAAAAAGACTGCTGGACTTGAAGCAATCTCAGTCGACTGAGGGGTCTCCGACTGATGATTCAGCCCTAGTAATGACTTGTTCTCAGTTTAAATGGTCTTGACTAAATTACTGGTTTCAGCCCTCATGAAAAGCAGAGTACCTCAAAACATAATAATAAAAAAACACAGTCTTTTTTTTTTGTTATAATAATGTATCAAATGTGAAAACAAAGTGATAATCAGTCACACAGAGAACCTATAGAGAATTATCAAGAAGAAGACATACTTTATCAATCCCTGAAATTAAATTTTTATCACTATTGTTATTTACGTGTTACATTGTCACCCAAATCTGCAGCTCTCCTCAGCTTTATGGAGCTTTATAGCGAGTTTTAGCTCATTGTTTGTCCGACTTCACTCTGACTGCTCTGATGGTGTGAGTTTCAGCTCCAGTGAACCCCTGCACACTACCTGTTCAGCACCAAACAGCAAACAGACACAGTTAGCAACTAGCTAGTGAACATAGTGGAGCATTTAGTAGCTAAAGAGTCAGATATTTCCCTTAGGAGTTGGTAGAGACCAAAAACAAAGCAAAAAGAGAGTGGTTGTGGGACTTATGTAACAGGTGAACACAAACACAACTCTACATAAATGATAATGGTCCTAGATCACTGCTGAGTGTGTAAATAAGCAACTGTTTGCTGACACGTTAACGTAAAAGGTGATTACATGACAATGTTGTTTTCACGACTTGTTTCTGCTGCCTCCAAGTGGCCAAAAAAATGATTACAGTTACAAAGGTTACCAAGAATACCATTTATGATTGACAGTTTTTGTTTAAACTTGTTCTATGTGACTAAGCTGCTCATCATCAGGACATTAAGGACTGCTTATATTATTCATAATCAGAACTTTAACTTACCGAGTTAATATGATGTAACTAATCACATCTGAACATGTAGGAATGCTTAACACCAAACCATACACAGATTTTTTTCAGGTGACATTGAACAAAATCACCGCAGGGAATGCCAGAATTATACAGTGTGCTGTTCAGGCTGCAGACAACTACAAATGCGGTCTGAGTTCCTGGTTTGTTTGCCTCTGTATGTGTAACACACTGTCCCTTAAAATGACGGGAACTTGGCCCTTCTGTGCCTGCGGCGGTATAAATACCCAGCTGCTCTCTCACCCTCTATTCCTCTTCTCCCTCTCCCTCCCTTTGTGTTGGTATTGTGTATTTATCTCTGTCACCAACCTCAGTGTACGTAGTCCCCATACAAAACGGGCAGGACGGCAGCGAATGTGAATGTGAGAGATTGTAAAAAAAAATGTACTGCAGCAAAGTACATTTTTGCCACAAGCGAGGTTCAGCAGATCTGTAATTTGCCCCCAAATGAAACAGATTGACAAAAAAGGTTTTAATAGAGCTCACAGCTGAGCCTAAAGAAAGTCCTATAAATATCTCCGTTCCCCTCTCTGCCCTCAGGGAAGTCGCCCAGATTGACCAGTTCCTTCAGGAGACGGCAGCACGTGAAGCCAATGCCAAGGTGCGGCTGCAGCAGTTCATCGAGGAGCTGCTGGACCGTGCGGACCGCGCTGAAAAACAGCTGCAGATCATCAGCAGCTGTGGCACCACGCCAAATGGCAGCCTGGGTCGCTGCAGCCTCCAGGCCTCAAAGGGCAACGGACGCCAGGTGAGGATATCTTGACTATCTTGACATTTCCTGTTCTGTGCAACAAAATAATATACAAATATACAAAATATAATACACAAATTAACACTGATCACATTTAACTGCATCATAATACAGACAGCAGTATAAAAAAAATGTCTCAGGTCTGATTTTGTGACATATTTTAAATGTTATAATAAACTATGAATTCTTGTTTCACCATCCATCACTCCTCAGTATGCTGCTTCCAGCTTTCCGACAGTCCTTGACAGAGCAGCTTTTTGCTTTTGAATAGTGCATAAGCATTGATTTTATTGAGTAATGTCGAGCCCATAATAGACTTGAAGATGCCCGAGACAACAAGTCTGCTCTTCTTTATAGAGCCGAAGTGCGGTAACTGTCCAGAACATTCCCGTGTTTTCACACACCAGCAGGTGAAATCCAGTAAATGAGATTCACCGCAAAATCTGCACACATGCAAGACAAGATGATACTGTGCTAAATTCAACCTACAGGCTCGGTGTTTGTTAGTAGAACAGAAGATCGTGACTGTGTGGATGTAAATGTGGTCTGAACGTGTGCGTGAGGTCTTTTGAGTCATTTAGCTCATTAGTTGTTTCTTCTGTTCCAGGAATCAGTCAGTCATTAGCTTTCTGTTGACTACATTAGCTTGACTTAAGTTAAACCTTGCACAGATGATTTTTGTTACCTGAAATAACAAATGACCTAAAATCACAAGGTATGGATATGAAATGGGTGCTTAAAGGGTACATGTGGTATTTTTCAACCTTATTTCAACCATACTTTGCCTGCTTTTAGGCCCAAGAGACGAATGGAGACAACAGTATTCAAAACTGGTCCAGTATTTAGTGAGAAACAGGCTGCAGTGTAACCACTCGGGTCATGCTTGCATCGCACCAGCAGTGTACATCCAGTAAAAGCGTTTGTTTTGCCACTGTTATGTTCAGATTATTATTCTGAAAGTATGACAACATTATGGAAAGGATCCCTACAGAGACAGACATTTTTGTCAAAGAGTAAGATCCTTTTTTTTAAACCCAAAATAACCCCAAAATTGCTATTGATAAACCCACCAGACTCCATTCAGTAAACATTAATTTTAACGTATATAGAGCTATCATATTTTCACATCTAACTGGGTGAATTAAGGGTTTCTTTCAAGCAAAGCACAGGCAATGATTGTTGAAACAGTGGAAGGACGAAGATGGCTTTTGTTGGTTTTATTTTGTTTCTCTTAACTTTGAATGAAGTTTGTTTTACAGTGCTAAAGTTAATGTTTATTTGAATGGAGTCTGGTTGGTTATACAGTAGCAATTTCTGGGCTGTTTCTGGATAAACTAAAATATTCTTACTCTGACAAACAGGTTTATCTCTGTAGGGATCCTGTTGTCAAACACTTAGAAAATCAATCTAGGGGTACCCAGTAGCTCATCTGGTAGAACAGGCGCCCCATGTACAAAGGCTCTGTCTTGCCACAGCAGCCAGGGGTTTGATTCCAACCCACAGCCCTGCGCTGCATATCATCCCCCCTCTCTCTCCCTGTTTCACGCTAATACTGTGCTGTCAATGAAAGGCAAAAATCCCGAAAAAGTATCTTTAAAAAAAAGAATGAAAAGAAAATCAGTCTAAACATGTCAGTGGCATTTTAGTGGATGTGAATTAATGGTGCACAATTGCCCTTTCACATTACATTGCAACCTTTTTCACTGCTGCAGGGTGGGGTGTAGCGCTGTCACTCAATATCGGACTAATTTCAAAAACTGTTCTTTGCTTTTAGTCAAGGGTCCACGTTAAAAAAAGTTACCCTTTAAATTATTACCTCCGCCAAGGAGGTTGTGTTTTCGCCGGCGTTGGTCTGTTTGTCTGTTTGTCTGCAAAATAACTCGAAAAGTTTGGAACAGATTTTGATGAAATTTTCAGGAAGGGTTTAATTGGACAAGGAACAGATGATAAAATTTTGGTGGTGATCGGTTGAAGCGAAGTGGATAAAATAATAAAATCTCTCTGAGTTTCCAAGTGCTCTAGTTGTACATGGGATTTTATTTTTCTAAAACATTTAGGTTTTGTGTGACTTACCCTGACAGATGATCTTGGTTTCTTTTCTTTAGTCCATCAGATTTTCAATGTCCCAATTACAAGTTGGCTTAATACACAACCTGGCCAAAAGAATGTGGACACCAAAACACGACGTTTTTATATGTGATGTTAAACATCTCTTTGCAAAAACATGGACATTAATACAATGCTCAAACAGCCTCTGCTCACAGATTTTGACACCTGATGGCAGGAGTTTGCTCCCATTCAGTCACAAGACCTCAGTGAGGTTGGTGCGTTGATGTTGTTTGATGAGATCTGGCTTGCTGTTTCCGTTTCATCCCAAAGTTGTGGATAGGGTTAAAGTCAGTGCTCTGTGCAGGTCAGTCAAGTTACCCAAAATGTGGACTCCATCTCTTTATGGACCTGGCGTTGAGCATATGAACTCGGCTCACTTAAACACAATCCAGCAATCACTATTATGCTTTGTAGACTGGCCGTCATTAGGTTTTTGTAGACAGCTTCGTTTGTATATCTTTGTAAACAAGGCCTTGATAGGTAAACTTTCCCCATATATGTGTAATCTCCTGATGCAGACCTCCAACAGCACCAAGCATTCTCACTAGTTAGCTTTTTTTTAACCAGGTATTTATTTTATCAGTATTTGCACTGAGCTGGGGAAAAAGCCTTCTACTTTGCTCCCTAAACTCTGAGTTACCTGCAAATTACATCATGATATTTTGGTTCCCTTAGAAGAATTTAAAAGCATGTTAAAAGTCCAGGTAACTGAGAAATGCAGCTGCTCTTTTCAAGCTGGTTTTAGTCTTTTCTGTGAGTGTTTGATGATTCTATTTTCCTGTCTGCTGTCTGTCTTTTTATTCCCATTCTATTTCAGCTGTAGCTGGTGTGCTGTCTTGGCCAGTTCTGACCTTGAGAAAGAGATTTCTATATCAAGGGACTGTGGGGTTAAATACCGGTTAAATAAAAGAAAAACTAAACTAAATTTTGTCCGCCAGCACAGACACAAAGAGTAGAGAGCAAATAGAGAGACAGAAGTGCCCTTCTCTCTTAAAGCCAGACCAAACTCAGGTCAAATGATAGAGCTAGGTGCTGATCAAATAAGAACCAAGATTATAGCCCTTTTTAAACAGGAACTGTGCAGCCCAATCAGTCTTTTTCAGCATTGGCAGTATAAAAACAAAATCGGGGAATGCAGCAAAATGCCGCCTACCTACTTTTGTTTATATAGAATGCGCCTTTTTTGGGGCAATGGGGGGCGTGAGCAAGAAACAAAATGTGTAGCACAGCGTGTGACGTAAACAGTGACGTGGGAGGGAAGCTGCAGCTGGTCGGTCCTTCGGCAATTCTCTCGTAAGTTGGCCCGTCCTTCACCGTTCCTGTTATTGGACGGTTAATGGCCTCTTCATTTGCGAGGGCAAGGAGGGCACGAAATTCCTTGTCTCCCCAATTGCTCATCTTTACAGTGTCTGTCAGGTTTGCGTTTCCCTCTTGCTACTAGCTGCTCATTCCTGCTATCAGCTGTTTCCTGTTAATCCACCGCCAGTGGCTCGCACATGCGGCATCATCAACAGCTCCTCCCACAAGGCTTCAACAGCCCCTCCCATGGCGGAAGGCCGCCTCGTTCTGTTTAAACCAAAAAGTTTCCGCCAATATGACTACCCTACGAGGCGGAAAATTGGGCACCTCGGATCAACTTGCCAATCCGGCTCTGTGTGTCTAAACGCTCGCAGCTTGCCGCCAAAACGGCCCAACATTTGCAGAAAATCTGGCGGTGTAAAAGGGGCTTCTGTTTCTGCGTTGTCTATTTCTTGCAAATGTTTTCAGAAACGTATTTTAGTGTACTGTTTAGCTGTAATTTGAGATTGGTTGTCACCAGCCGGCTGCCGTATGGTTTTCTGATGAAAAAACGGCCAAGCTGGCATCATGCCACCTGCCAGCTGGAGCGTGTATTGGTGTGGTGTGGTGCAGTGCATTCTGGTAGTTGTAGGTTTTCTACCTCTTGAGCAAAAGTGAATGACACATCCCATTTTCACTGATTTCTATGGTCATGTAGAACCAATTTCAAAAGCATTCATGTCTTTCTATTGCATAGACAGGACAGTTTTATGAAGAGACCATCATCCCAGCAGTGAAATCCGTCTTTAACTTGAACTAAGGTGCTGAACTCAAACCATAAAAACAGCCGTGGACCAAAATTACATAAAAAATATGTAGACATGGATGTCTACAGATTTTTTGCCATATAGTATATGTTTGTATCTACAGCATTTTCTATTGTATGTGATGCTCATCTGCAACAGAATCATAAAGTGAAACTACAGTAGAGGCTCGAAGCCTGTCTGCTTTGCATTCAGCATGAATAGTGAAGCTCTGCAGCAGACAACATCCTGACCAGAGAGCATACTGGCACAAAAAGCTTCCTCATGCTCCGGAAGCTGGAGATGGGCCATTTGCCTCCAGGCTTTCCACAGCTTCCATTGTGGCATCCCCCCCTCCTCTTCTTTTGCCTTATTACACGATGATAACACTCTAAAAGCAGACAATTTCTGTCCTTAAAAATGTCACTTATTCAAATTATCATCCAACACCTCTCAAAAGAGGGGTGACCTGTTTCATTGCACAAATCCGCGTGCTGCCATGGAAACCAGCGATTGCTCTTGCTCGAGGTTCCAGCGTGATTTTGAATCAGATGTAATGTGGTACAGATCTGCCTGAGAGGAACAAGCTCTTTCATTTTTGGCTCATTATTTGAGAGAATCTCAGTAAAAAAAAATCCTCTCCTCAGATCACTATCCTTGAGTGCAGAGATATTATCGACGTCACTTAATAAAGTCATGCAGTACAGTGAGTTATGTAAGTGATACCTCTTTGTTATGCTGTAATTAAACTGTTGCAAAGACATCTGAAATTGTTCAACGGCATATTTTTTGTGTTAGTCAAATACATTTGAAATGAATTTTTTTGTTGACCTGTGATTGACCCAAAACACTGCCGCCTAAATTTAGACATCCTCTCTTTAGATTTCAACATCAGTCAGTTTCACGTAGGACTGTGAATAATCAACATGACAAGTACAAGTGTGGAGTCACAGACTGGTTGGCACCTTGTTACACTGTCAAGGAAAGCCCGGAGATGTCACCCAAACGACCCCACACCCTCACAACCTCACTCTCCGTCTCTCTGTCACGACATCAGCGAGGTCGCCCTTATCTCCTAGGAGACAGGTTTAAGAGCCACAGAGGTATTTTAGGACTGGCAGCAAGAGAAGGGATGGATGGCTTGTTTCCTGCTGACTTTCTAGTTCAACTCAGACTGAATCTAATGCCTTTCTTCACAGGAAGTGCAAGGTGAATGTAACTTAAATTCAAGTGGAGTGTGCCATAAACTTTTGGCCTTTTAATGGAGGGATGAGAAGAGGGAAAAACTCGAGTTTAAAACCAAACTTCAGTCACCAGATTGGAGTTTTCCCCTCTGCTGAAGGCGTTTTGTTCCATCCATTTCTAGGAGATTTGTCCCTGTTCTGCCTTCACTGCAGGCTGGCCAGGAATGAGAGCCATGGATGGTGTTCGCCTGTTTCCTCCATGGTCCATTTTCACTGGCACTAGGCCAGAAACAAGCTGTGTGAGTAGAAGCAGAGAAAAGGAAAGAGAGGGAGAGAGGGAGGGACTGACAGTGTCTGTGTTTGTGCACATTTTCCCTCTGTGGCACGTCGCCAGTCTGGTACACTGAGTTCCACCTGGCACTACTTCACACGCGCGTAGATACACACACGTACAAACACTACACACAGCATACTTCAATGCACGGGCAGCTTTGAGAGGTGTATGAAAGAGTGACTAGGAGGATTTCGCTCTCAGGCAAGTAGAGAAGGTAAGAGTCAAGCTGCACACCCACCATCAAATACACTTAGAGAATTCTCACGTGTTTTCACAGCTACAACCAAATATTTTAGGTTGTAGGAAAGATGCTAAAGGCGCAAGATATCTGGACTACTGCTGACCAGATTGGCAGGAAGTTAGTCACGGATATTCATGATCCCCAATGGATTATTACTAATGACTTTGGTGGCCTCCTGTAGCATCACTATTAGGGAAAAGCTTTCACTTGTATAAAGTACATGTGTCCCCTGAAAGTCGAAGATTACAATCATCAGTTGCAGTCCTCTCAGTCGACTGCCATTCTTTTATTCGAGCAGTCAGTCTTTTGCTGTTGTTTTTTTGTCGGTCTGTGTACTTTTGTGGACGTTTCAGTCCACAGTTGTAGCAGCAGAGTGAGCGCTCCTCACTTTCACATTGATCTCCAATTAAGGCAGCTGCAGACCCAGACCCAGGGTGAGTCTGAGTGAGATGGAGACAACTGCCCAGAGGAAGAGAGGCTTTGCTCTGAGATAACTTTACCTCTTTTGTTTTATCTCTGGTGTCGACAAAACATGTTGTTGCTAACAATCTTTCTTTAGCGTAGTTAGCATGCATTAGCATGGAGGGCTAATTAAGCATGTTTACTATATTATGTGAACAGCACTGTCACCCTTAATGTTCAGGCTCAAACTTTATATGGCAAAAATGGACCATACAGTTAGTATTGAGCAGCCAAATTTGATTTGATTGACATAATTCTGAGTTGGGTACAGAACTTTTATTGAGCATATTCTTACTCCACAGAGGGTGAACCCTTTTACATTTGAGACCGTCCACAGCCCTTTCTGTACTGCCACCCTCAGGACAAATCATCAGTTTTGGACACAAGATATTTATGTACAATGACAGGATTTAAATGAAATTTGTTCTGGCTATTCATGGCCACAGATTATGATTTATAATGATATCAGTCCTGCACCAGATCAAAATGTCACTGTTGAACAACATTGTAGTTTATGGAATGTTAAACAACAGTCACTGAACTAATATGAAATGTTCTTTCTTGTAGTATCAAGAGTTTTATTGTTTTAATACAAAAAATATACAGTGAAATGGAGGTGACATTTTCTCAGTACATTAAAGCTGTAGTAACATTTATAAGAATAACTGTCACTATATCCACACAGTAAAATGTGGTTATGTGGATCATCAAAATCATGTTCCTCTGCCTCCTCTTAGTTCTTCTAAAGGCATTTGCAAGAATCCACTACATGTGAGTGAACAACCTGTCAGAGCTGAGGATTCTCTAACGCAGCTGTCAATCATGTGAATCACTGCTCGTAAACTGTTGTTAAACTAGGCATCACTGATCAAGTATGAATCAAGATTCTGTTACTGCCTATTTCTCACCATAAAAATGTTTTCAGAAACATATTTTAGTTTACTGTTTAGCTGTAAAATGAGAAAATTTGTAACACGGCCACCATGTTGGAACCAGTCGAGCCTAAACGAAACACTGCCTATTGGCCGGAGCAAACATTTCTCATTCTCACAGCTAAACCGTACACTAAAATATGTTTCTGAAAACATTTGAGGTGAGAAAGGCAATGCAGTAACAGAATCTTGATTCATATTTGAGCAGCGCAGCTTAGTTTGACAGTTTTACCAAAGTTTACCAGCCATGATTGACATGATTGGCAGCTGTGTTTTCCAACAGCCACAGTTTGATTCTAGCAAATGCCATTAGAAGCACTACCAGGAGGAACAGACTATCTGTCTCATGTACTGCTGCAGGGAAATAGTGACGGTTTCAGCAAATATGACAAAGTTATTTTCATTAACGTTACTAAGTACAGCTTTAACGCTCCCACTTTTATTTTGTGCCACCCTCAGGGGGAAAATGATCACATTAATCCTCACAAGCTTCATCTTGCTCAACTTGTCATATGGGACTGATCATCTTTTATTCCTATTGTGTTGGGAAGGAATTTCTCCATTGATGTCCTTGATTTATGCCTGATGCTGTCACCAGTCATAATGTACATGTGAGATCAAACCACACAGAAACACTTTAATTTGAAGATCGCTTGAGTTGTTCATTTCAGTTTGGATTATTTGACGAACATATGAGCCGTCACAGCTTTTTGGGAAACACACACAGAGAAGCCTCCCATGACAGCAGCAATATAGGTTACCTTTTGATTTACTGTTATTGTCTTTTCAGTGGGAATTTATTAAGCAGCCCTCTGTACCCATTTAAATTTTTATAGCCGCACTAACTGCTTTTAAATTATATGATGCATGGCTCGTGCTTTAGTCTTGAGTATATTGTTTTCATAATGTTTTAGGGGATGTATGTGTTCACAATCACAACTAGAAAAGTGCCTCAGTAGAGTGCAGATCTCTGCCAGGCGACTGTCCAAGTTGACCTTGGCCACTCCTGGCAATTCTGATAATTTCAGCAGACATGCTGCAGCACGTTTCAGAAGTGTCCCAGAAGCTAATGAAAACACACACCTCGACTATTTTCAACAAAGCTGCATCGCGTTGCACAGAGCAGATCAAGTTTTCCTGCTAACAGGCACTGTATATTAAATATAAATAAAATGTAATTATGAGGATGAATGTATTTTTAATGACTAAAACACAGCCAGAAACCTCTGATCCATAACAAGGCAGGAAATAACAATAAACACAACTAAAACAGACAAAACAGGAAACCATTTAACCACATAGACTGCTTATTTACTCATGGTAGAAGCACAAAAATGTCAAGGAAATATGATCAAATGAACAAAATCTGCAAGTCTACAATATAAGGCAACACTCCTGTTATGGTATGACACCGTGTAGCAGATGCAACAAAGCCGGGTCGCAGCTGCGCCTGTTGGAATTGTCCCTTCCAGCTTCCAAGATGGCAGCAGAGATAATTAAAACAGAGACTAATTCATCTCATATTGTTCCTAACTTTAGTAGATTATGGGTGTGGAATTAATCTGCAGATGCTCCTGTTCAAAATAAGACCAAACTTTTCCATTTTTGAGCCACAACGAAGGCCTGGAAACTTGGAAAACATGTGGCCCCTACCACCCAGTTGAGAGGAGTGAGGAGTCAACAGTCAGTGACGATGTAAAACAGTCAATAAAACCCATTTTTCAACAATTATGAATCACTGCAGCCACAAGAGATCCTTGAGCATCGTCATGAATGTGCACACAAAATATTAGGCTAATTGGTCCAGTAGTTTGTGAGATTAGCTGCGGCCAGACAGATACACACACGCACACACACACACACATATTCAAGTACTCACACACACTAGACTAAAAATTCATCATCTCCTTCAGGTTTATACTGAACATAGATCATTTCTGAAAGTCTCATGCAGATTGTTGAACAAATTAAAGGTACAGCCAGAGTATTAAGTAATACTGAAACCTCACACAACCAAATAATATTTTAGCCCAGAGGATGCTTATAGAAGCGGAAGTTTAGGGGGACTAAGTAGTTGCACTACTAACACTTTTATTTCTGCATGTTTGTGTCTCTCCAGAGAAACTCCAGCCTCTCTGGGAGCACAAGAGGCATGTACCAAGTGTCAGACCGACGTTCGTCCCCCAGCACAGGGTAAGTCGGTACACTGCTCACATTCCACTTTTACACATGATTTCACACCTCTGAAATATACTGCGTTCAGACCACCACCACGTAGACCCTCACTTACTGGTACACTTACCCACCCAGAAGTAAAGAGAGGATGAGCTCATAACTGCCACTGTGCATGTGCTTTAGTTAGGAATAATTTTGTTTCTCAGGAAGGCGTTCTGTCTGTCTGTCCATCTGTCTGTTTATTTATTTGGAAAGAAGGCCGGTTCTCTGTTTTTTTGTTTTGTTTTGTTTTTTTTGTTTTTTTTTGGTCCAGCTGGAGATTTTGTGGCTCTTGGCTCACAATTGCGTTTGGTGCACCTCCTCTTTACTGCTTCGTGAGAGCTGATGTTGCTGAAACACAGTTTGTCAGTTGTGTGGAAATATAACAGAACCCCTGGAGCCGCAGAGCTTTTAACCACCATCTACTGTGCTCGCTGCCTCTGGCCTTTGGGGTACAACTTGTCAGTCCTGTGTATAGATGTTTGCAAGCACGGCAGCTGTGGTTAGAGTAAGTCAGAAAAACAATGAAAACAGTGGAAGTACTTACAAGTGGTTACAGCCTGTTTAACTTTATATTATATCATTTTGTCTTTCACACATCTGTTGAAATTAAAAATAAAACATAATAATGTACATAAAATACAAGATTAGGTTTCTGTAACAGTCATACACTAGTGAGTATGCTTGAAAGGCAGGTTCACACTATAGTTCTTTATGCTAAAATAATAATTAGATTTCTAGATGAATCTATATTTGGATTGACAGAAAAATAGTCTATTTTCAAAACTTATTGATGATAGTTGCTTAAGTTATTGATCCAGAAAGAAGCTAGATATTGCTGGTTCCAGCCTCTCAAATTTAAGAATTTGTTTTTTTATCGTTGTAAATTGAATTATTTTTGGTTATAGAGTGGACAAAACAAACAAACTGAAGGTGTTGCCTTGGGCTCTGAGGACTTGTGATGGGCATTTTGTGATAATTTTAGATTCATTGACGTGAAAATAATCGTTAGTTGTAGCCCTGCGATACTTACACCATAACAGATTTACTGCATGCAGTTTGTTTAATACTGAAAATGAAGTGTATCATCCTCTTGCTTGTTGTTTCACACTCAGACATTGACATTAACATATTGTACTTTTGTATAGAAGCATATACTGTGTAAAATAATGGATGTAGCTACCGTGTTGTCATCCACTGGTTCATGGACTCAAGTTTGGCATTTAGACAGTCACCATCTTGAATTTTTTGGAGCCAGAGGTGACTGTATATGGATGAGAGGGTGGAGCTGTGGAGAAGTGAGGAGTGGACTCCACAGCATGACACTAAAGCTTCCCCACCCTTAAATATGTGTAACTTTAAGCCTTAATAAAAAGTAAATGGGTGAGTTATTTAAAAGTTCACCCCCATACAGTCATGAAGTGGTGAATTAGCTATAGAGACTAAAACTGTTTTTTGTACCAAGCTGTGAACATGTTTATTTCTGCTATAAAGTTGGGCATTTTAATATGGAGGTTCAGTGGGGATCGACTCGCTTCCGGCACAAGGAACTGCAGTTTTGGCACTTCCACGTTGCCTTCATTTTTCAGCTCCGTAGGTTTCCGCTCATATTGAACTCTCTGACATGGAGTAGATCCCATTTTTAGTCGGACTCTCATGCGGCAGAGCAGTGGGGTGCAGGTTGGACGTCTCTCTGCATGAGGTGTGACTGAAGTATTTCTGTGTTCCTGCTGGAGATTTCAGACACATGGCTGCGCCATAGCACTCTGACTAACACAACTGTCACTCCCGGTTGGTACGTAAATGTGTTTCCTAACGTGACGTCACGCAGAACCTGTCTGGCTTTCCCCATTGAATCATTGATGGCGCGACGCACACACGGTGGCACAATAACAACTCCCGAAGCCTTCTGTCTTTTGGTTATTAATAGGTCTTCATCAGGGATGAAGGTCAGAATCTCAAGTGTGCAATGGTTTTAGTGATTTATCGATACTGACCTCACCAGATGATCATGCAGTCATGAGTCTGTGTGTGTCAACACCAAAGTACCTCAGAGAGTTTGCTCTTTTTACAGTTTGTGTTTCTTTAATGACCCAAAATTTTTTATATTATCCATCCATCCGTCCGTCCATCTGTCCATTTTCATCTACTTATTTGGGGCTGTGTCGTGGGGGCAACAGGCATTGCCAGACATCCCTTCCCTTAGAAACATTTACCAGCTCCACCACCACCTTCAAACTTCACTCCCTCTTCACTAGCCCAACGCCTGCATCACTGCTGATGCTGCTCAAAACAGCCTGTCCATGTCAGGCTCCATTTTACCCTCACTCGTGAACAAGACCCCTAGATACTTAAATTGTTTCGCTTTTGAGAAGTTCACTCCCAACATCAGAGTGGGTGATCCATTGTTTGATGGCAGAGAGCCATGGACCCCTGAGACTAATTTCTGTATTATATATTTCATATACACTCACTCGCCACTTTATTAAGTACACCTTGCTTGTACCGGGTTTGACCCCCTTTTGCCTTCAGAACTGCTTGAGTTCTTTGCGGCATGGATTCAACAAGGTGCTGGAAACATTTCTCAGAGATTTTGGTCCATATTGACATGATAGCATCACACAGTTCCTGCAGATTTGTCAGCAACAATACTCAGGTAGGTTGTGGTGTTTAAATGATGCTCAGTTGGTACTAAGGGGCTCAAAGTGTGCCAAGAAAATATCCCCCACACCATTACACCACCACCAGCCTGAACCGTTGATACAAGGCAGGATGGATCCATGCTTTCATGTTGTTTACACCAAATTCTGACCCTACCATCTGAATGTGGCAGCAGAAATCCAGACTCATGAGACCAGGCAACATTTTTCCAATCTTCTGTCATCATATTTTGGTGAGCCTGTGTGAACTGTAGCCTCAGTTTCCTGCTCTTAGCTGACAGGAGTGGCACCTGGTGTGGTCTTCTGCTGCTGTAGCCCATCTGCTTCAAGGTTTGACGTGTATATCTTGGTTGTAATGAGTGGGTATTTGAGTTACTGTTGCCTTTCTATCATCTTGTACCAGACCTCTGGCATCAACAAGGTGTTTTCGCCCAGAGAACTGGCGCTCACTGTCTCTTTTTCGGACCATCCTTTGTAAACCCTAGAGATGGTTGTGTGTGAAAATCCCAGTAGATCAGCAGTTTCTGAAATACTCACACCAGCCCGTCTGGTACAAACAACCATGCCACATTCAAAGTCACTTAAATCACCTTCTTTTCCCCGTTCCGATGCTCAGTTTGAACTTCAGCAGGTTGTCTTGATCATGTCTACATGCCTAAATGTATCGAGTTGCTGCCCCGTGATTGGCTGATGAGCTACTTGTGTTAACGCGCAGGTGAACAGGTGTACCTAATAAAGTGGCTAATGAGTGTATAGTAATTATAGTAATAGAAACAGTTTTAATATGTGTGGATCTCATTAAAATATATGATAGGATCTCCCTCTTAAAATGTCTAAATCAGTTTTTTTTAGGCTCCTGTGCTTCATTCAAGGCAGCAGAGTTTTGTCTCAGAGCTTCTAATTTAAATGTAATTCATCTCCATCAGAATCAGGACATTAAATTTTACTATTTATTTAAGTGTAAAGCTTATTTTGATTTGTATATTAAACAAGAGGTGACACAGGGGAAGTTTATTTCTTCCACTGATTATTGAGTTGTTTTTTAATTTACTCTGATACTACTTTGCATTCTGGATACACACTTTGAAATCATTAATTAGCAACTGCTAATCACCAGCTTCCCGTGATTGGGATCAATCCAGATCATTACATCGTGCTTTTGATTCAATGTTGACAAAACATTCAGACAGTTTTCATCAGGTTACCGCTTCACAACAAGCTCATTAGACTGTAATGAATCACAGTTTTGTCATTGAACCAGTTCCGATTGTTAAAACCATAAACATACTGCTGTGTTTTGCTTTTACATAATCTAAATTTATACTTGTGGCATGACATGCATCTCATCTTCTGTGCCTCCTTTTCCCATGTAAGTGCTGATAAGTGCTACCTGCAGTATCATCTGCGGTTCTCTTTCATTTTTATTCCTAAAATGATGCATGCAGAAGCTTCTTATTATGCTGAGAGAAAAAGGAGGGAGCACTGAGACGACAGAAATGAAGCAAAGAAAGAAAAATGGCCTACTTTTCGAGAGGCTGATATTTGTAACTGCTCATTACTTGTATTCGGAGGTTATTTTAAGTACTGTAGCAGCAGTACTTACGTGCAAGAGCTGCCCTCGTTCTACTATAAATCCCCTGAAATACAGCTGTTCCTTTTCAGTCATGCTCTATCTACTTGTGGTTCATTTTGGTTTCAGAAGTGCATCAGTCAAATGAAATACCAATACTGTTGTTTTCCTCAGTGGACCCTTTAAGAATGTTACTGTGCCGAGGGGAGTGAAGTCTCTACAGAAATGAACAGGTCACCAAAGGATTTAGAGCAGGTCTATTGCCTGCCTTTTTGATATTTGTGATTTGTTTGCTTTTTCTAAATTAAAATTTGTCCTAATAGACCTCTTTTCAAACACCCACCTTTTGGCTTGATTATGATATTTGTTTATAAAAAGCAGAGCTGATTGTGCATCGTGAACGGATTAAAGGAATGCTTCAACATTTTGTGAGACACACATATTTGCTTTCTTGCCAACAGTAAGTTGTGGACAAGAATTTCTGAGCGCCAGGTGTTTAAAAATGTTCAACTTTTGGTTCAACTTTCGTCACTGTCACTCCAGCTCCTCAGTAACAGTGGAGGAAGGACATGTACCACTAAGACAGCCCGTCACATCTCACATGTACAAGTGCTGAACAACAACAATTGAGGAAAAATCGGTTGATATACTGCATATATGTTGTGTTTCATCTCATGAATCCACACAGGCCAGCGGGTCCGTCCTCTCTCCCTGCATGCTTCACCCTTCTCCTCATCCAAAGCAAGTACTCAGCTTGTGCCGACATGTTTACTACATGTTTACGCAAATCATCTCAGCAACTATAAGGCCTTAGAAGTCATTAGATAGACATAAACTTGAACTTGTGAGGTCTTAACTACTATATACATTTTATCTAATATAATTTATACATCTTTTAATTTCTTTTTGTGAAGATGAGTCAAGCCTTTCTATGCAAAAGTCCACATTTCTAATGTTACCAATCTTTAAAAAACTATAATACTATCATTTTATTTCATGCTTACATTTACCTGTTGGCAAAATGTGGAATAAATTAACTCACTCTAATAACCGTATTCCTTCACGACACCTACCTCTGCACAAGACCATATATACACTACTACCTGCAATATTTACCTGCGATGCTTAGATTAGTAAGACATGACTTGTCCAAAAATCTGTCATAAATATGGTTAAAAGGTGATCTGAAAGGGTCTTAAAAAGTATTCAACTTAACTGTCTGATAACCTGAAAAACACTGCACCTCCAAATCGCTCTCAAATGCTTCCAGCTGTGGGTTTTCTAAGGAGTGCTTGCCGTTTTTAGCCAGAAAAAATGCTTTGGTGGACACGGAGCCTGAGAGACTTCCATGTTTTAGGTTCTACACCATAAAATACGTCAGTGAAAACCACACTCTTGAATTCTGAAGCTTCTCAGCATCTTAAAAAAGGTGGTTGCTAACAAGTGGTTAAATGAGACTGAACATCATCACACAAAACTCTGCTTTGCATTTATAGTCTAATGTTAACTTTTACTCCTGGCGATTGCATTTAAGCTTCAAAAGTCATGAAAGTGATGTTTATTTGTGGAGATTGTCTTGCTGTACAAAGAATTATAAACTTTTATTTAATTTTCTACAGCAATTCAAAATCCAGTGGAAAGAGCGCATTAACTTTCTATCGAGGGAACCAGGGCGACGCTAACTTCTGGACTTATTGATTCTCATTATTGTGATTATTCAGAATACAGTATGGGGTGTTATTGGATGTGGGATGGACAATCTGTGTGTTTGAGTATCCTCATAATTCAATCATTATTAATAGTTCATTTCCTTCTCTTTGGCTGCAGAGCATCAGGGCGGATCAAATCCGTCTCACAGGGCTCTGGAGGTTACGACAGTGACAGCGTGGAGATGCACCCGATGGAGGACTGTCCTGAGGCTCAGTATTATCACATGCAGTGCCGGCTGGGTGAGGGGGGTTACGAGCGCTCCCCTGGATGCGGCGGCGGCGGGTCGAGGAATTGGGGTCTTCGTAAACAGGCTATCCAGAACTGGCAGCGGCGACCTTACAGGAACAGCACCGAAGGCGAGGAAGGAGACGTGTCAGACGTGGGCTCCCGGACAACTGAGTCTGAGGTGGAGATGTGGGAACAAGAGAGGAGAGCTGTGGCTGAAGTCCAGCAGTCTGCCCCTCCCTATCCTCACCACAGCCGGGCAGGATATCGCCCTAACACAGGTAACAGCTCTCTGGGAAGTTCTTCAGACCTGTTATTCTTAGAAAGGTGCACACAGTCACACACTCTCTCCAATCTAACATCCGCACACATGGGAGCCAGGATTCACAGAATAAAGGCCTTTAAAATGACTCCCATAGGAGCAGTCACTGATGTGGATCTAGGTCAGGTGGAGTTGCAGTCGCTGTAATGCTGCTGGAGCTGTGTCACTGACCAAAGCTCGTTCTACAAACTGAGTGTGGATTAGCCATGAGCATATATGGTAAACATGGAGGAAAGGGGCCTCGTATCTGCTGAAGCGTGTGGACACAACAATGTAAACACTTGATGAAAAATGACTTAAACACTGCCACAAATGTTCTTGGGAGGTTTTTCTTATCTAAGTTACGAGCCAAAGGATAGAGAGTGCAGTATGCTTTACAGCCTTATGATGTTGGTCTTTATAAATGAACTTAAAATGCCACTTAGCGGCATTTCAGTCATTTCTGTATTTTTGTGATTCTTAAATTATCATGACACAGATCACCAAATTGATACTGCATGTCTACAAATTGCAGATGCAACAGTCAATAACCTGAAAAAAAGTTAAAGGGATAGTGCACCCAAAAATGAAAATTCAGCAATTATCTACTCACCTATATGCCGACAGAGGCTCTGGTGAAGTTTTAGAGTCCTCACATCCCTTGCGGAGATCGACGGGGGGAACGGGCAGCACACCTAATGGCTGATGGCGCCCCAGACTAACGTCCAAGAACACAAAATTGAATCCACAAAGTATCTCCATACTGTTGATCTGTAGTGATCCAAGTGTGCTGCAGCCGCGACATAAAAAGTTGTTTCGAAAAACGTCATATGAACTCTGTTTTTAGCCTCACCGTAGCCTGTAGCTCTGACTGCTTCTCTGTGCTCTGCGCTCACATGTGCGAGCTCAGGGTGATCGGTGATGCACGGTCTCTGAAGAGCAGCAGTCTCGTCAGTACTGATGTCCAGATTCTAAAGTACAGGCATCGCCAATTCCCAGTCTGAGCAGCAAAGACTTTCCTCATCCGTTGGCATTGCTTTGCATTTGAAACAACTACACCATCAGGTTTCCAGTGCTTGACTCCGGTATTCTGCAGCTGGCTGAGGCTCATGAGCTGCGGCGGCTGCTTCGTCCAGTAGCCTGAGTTCCGTCCGTATACTCAGGCTCAAACAAATACGGCTCAACAAAGAAATGCTGTTCCTCCTCAGTTTCAAAGTCTTCAGACATGTTGGGCTGTCCTTTGCTAAAAGACCGTAGTGCAAATTATCTTTTAGCGACTGTGGCTACCGTTGTCTCACCCTGCGGTGCCTGTGTCACATGATGTAAACACGGGTGAGCAAAGCTCATGCTTTTGCTGGTCTCGCGCAGGCGCACACACGTGAATGCGGAGCACAGAGAAACAGCTACAGGCTACAGTGAGGCTAAAAACAGAGTTCATATGACGTTTTTCGAAACAACTTTTTATGTCGGGGCTGCAGCACACTTGGATCACTACGGATGAGCAGTATGGAGATACTTTGTGGATTCAATTTTGTGTTAATGGACGTTAGTCTGGGGCGCCATCTGCCATTAGGTGTGCTATCCGCTCCGCCCGCCGATCTCTGCAAGGGATGTGAGCACTCTAAAACTTCACCAGGGCCTCCCTCGGTATATGGGTCTCAGTCGCTCCTAAACAAATAATAGAGAAATGCCTGGCTGCTCCTGAGTTGGGAAGACAGTAATTGATCCCAATTCAAAATTTATGTTGGTGTTACTAGTACTGTAACTGTAATTTAGTGTTAAATTATTGTAGCTATGTGGATTTGTTAACAGTGTTTTGTATTTAATAATATTAAAATATTAAAGTATACTTAAACTGTTTAAAGTTAATACTATATTGTTCAAGTTTAAGTTCAAATATGCCTTTGCAGTATAAAAAAGCTGTTCTGTAACGTCACTGACTGTTGTGTTTGTGCTTTATTTTTTTAAATGATCGTTAAGGCACAGTTAAAGCACGTATGCCATTATAAAAGTATCATTGTAGCACCAGTATCGACAAAAACCCAAACAATACCCAACCCTGTCCTTAGGCTGGGTTAAAATAGCCGATCTTCATTTGAATGACCGGTATTGATTCGTGAAATCCGAGATCCATCTTTTTCCCACGGCTGTGTGAAACTTTAACCCTGCTAATCTCGCCAATAGTAAACGAGCCACAGCGCTATGTTATTAACAACCGTAGTATTGAGAAGCTCCGACGTTACCAGTTCTGTTATCTGTAACTGTTAGCCTACTTGTTTATGATTTGGTTTAAGTTATTATTGTGCTGCAGCAGCCTCTCCTCCTGCTGTCTGTGCATCGGGGCTGCTATTATTAGATAGCCATGCGTTGCTAACAGTTAGCCCTGTCACTGTGTGTGTGTTGGTGGACTCTGTCCCAGATGCAGAGCTCACACCCGCAACAACAGCACTGTGGTGTGGCACAGAGAAAGTCTTCCTGATTGACCCACACCCACACAGTTTGTGGTGTGGTGAGATCAAGCGCAGCGTATTGACAGAGATGGCAGTTAAGCGTACCAAGGTGCCACCAAAACTTTCAGAAGTATGGGCTATGCTACACGCCACTCTATTCATATGATGGTATCCAGTGAAGTACTCTATTAGTGTTGGCATCACTTTAAGGGTACTGGTATTGCTACTGGTATGGTAAGTTTTTAACGCTGTCAAGTCCTAGCTCAGGGTGCATAAATCCTGCTAACTGGCATGCAACCGAATATGATCCATCTTGGTTTCAGAGCTTACAGCGTGATTTTACCAGCCCAAGTCCTTTTTCCACAAGTTGTTTACACTATTTTGTTTACCACCAGCATGTCTGTTATAGACGATGAGTAAACCAAGTCATACATTGCTGTTGTTGATACACTTTCTTTGTGTGTCTTTGGTAGAACATATTTGTATTTGCCAGAATGCTGTTCCTCCTCTCATACTAAGCTTTGCCTCTTCGAGCGAGCCAAGTCAGACTGCCAATCATGCCCGCACATTTCTTCAGATCCACCACAGATTGGGCATCTCTCTGTTAACTTCCTGCGCTGCCAGAATCATTAAACTCACTGCTGCTGCCCTCCATTTTTCTTCACCTGCTGTCGGGTTTCTTCTAAATACCAGGTGGACTGAGGCAGTCTGGGAAACTGGGCCACAGCCCCTTAACAAATTGGTACGAACTGCCCTGTGAACTCAAAGGTTTTTCTCACGTAACACTCAACATGTTACTGGCATTCCTCGGCTCTGACGTAGATCTCCTTATTGGGAGAGTCCCTGCCAGGTTTTATCAGATGGTATGTATCTACAAGCACAGTTTTTTCTCAGCATGTAACACACAGCTCGGCTTTTTTAGTGCATTTGGCAGTTTAGAGCGTAGGTGGTGTGTGTGTGAGAGAGAGAGAAAGAAAGAGAGAAAGAGGAAGAGAGAGCGAGAGTGTAAGTAATGGTTCATAGCCCTGATGGTTTCGAGCAGACGCCTTCCAAGGCCAAAGATGAAATGAGTCATCTAGGAGCAATCTGGCTGGGAGGAATAAGACGAGCTTGGATTGGACACACGGTATCAGCCAATAGATAGCAATAGAGAGAATGAAAAGATGGAAGGAGGAAAAAAAAAATTATGTAATCTCATTTGGTGTCTCGTTGAAGGTTGGCGCCACCATGTGACAGCATATCTCTTAAACATTGTTTATGTGGCACTTACTCGTAATAGTTCTTTAGGTCCACAAGAGCATCTCTCTATAGAGGTAAATTAATTTCATCTCTTTTTAAATGTAAGAATTTCCCAACTTGGGATCTATCTATCTATCTATCTATCTATCTACAACTAGCTGTGGAAAGCGCCAACAAGTCCCTGTCTGAGAACATTGGACAGCATGCAGGCTGATAAATAGAAAGCAGCAGAGAGAAGTAATCTGAGGTCAGGCCATGAAGTGCTAACAGTAATGAATTCTAAAACATTCTGGCATCCAGCGTTGAGTTATTTAAAGAGAAGTAATGCAGTATGTTCTCTTTTAGTTTCATCAAGAGTCTGAGGAGCTGCTGCATTCTGCACAATTTAGAGCCGTGCAAATAGTTTTCGGATTTATTTCATTGAATTGACTGTTGCAGGAGTCCAAAGGTGATGAAATGAAAGCGTGTGTGATGGATCTGGCATCTGGAAAACTGATGATGACTTTGCTAACGTGAAATTCATGATTGAGGAAGGACAGTATTCTGAAATTGTAAGTCCTTGGAAACTTTAAAGTCCAAATTCATTGGAGCGGTCTAATGATCCAAAATACTTGCTTTGTTTTACATTGGACAGAACTCCCTCACATTATGTTAAAGGGGTTGAAAGACTGGTGGTGCAGTGGTTAGAATTGCCATCTCACAGCAAGTTTACTTGTTGTCCCCATATCAACGTGGGTTTTCTCCGGGTACTACGGCTTCCTCCCACAGTCCAAAGACATGCAGGTTAATTGGTGACTCTATATTTTTACGGAAAATAAATGAATGAGTGAATGGTTGAAAGACTCGTGCTGTGTCTACGCTTACATGTCGTACACTGTGTACACTATGTACTTACTTGAACAGTGTGCGAATTTCAACAGGGTACTGTTGTCTCGAATCAAACACGGCCATTTTGCACTTACCGGAAATGATGATCGCAAGATCTTGCAGCTGTTCTTGTTCTGCTCGGCAAATTGCAACTGTGTGTTTATCGTCAACATTTGACAAACTAATATCGTTCGCCAAAATATTTGCTTGCTATATCTGCTTGTTTGCTCGCTAACTTTTTCTGTATTTACTTACTTATTTATTGTGTTACAAATTAACGCAATGAATGTCTGTGGCTGATACTGGCTGGCTCAGTCACCAGCTAAACTACCAAGTCAATGATAGCTGCCACGTTTTGCAAATATTTCCAACTTGTTAAGCATCTCATCACAAACCGAACACTTAAATCTTCCACAGTGAAGGTGATAACATGCATAAACACAAAATGTAACGTCAAAGAACGTATAGCTTACGCCACATGATGTCAGTGTCTGATGATAAAATGTGCTGCTGTTGGTGAGCTAGCAAGCTTACTTTAGCAATTATGGTATTGTTTGTGGTACCAAAATTAGTATAGAATTTACCCAGTAAATAAACTGATGGCTTATACCTGATAACAGGGCAGTGGTCATGAAAGGTACTTGGTGTCCACAGTTGACATTTCACATGTTTTTAAATGTGTTTGTGGCCCTGCCCCTTTTCGCTACGTAGTCAACATGGCAACTATTGAGGGTGAGAAGTGTCCAACGTTCTGCGCTCAAAATAGCAAGTATAAGTACAGAAGTATCCGATTTTCTCCCCACAGGTCGATCTGATGGGGTCTACAACAAGCCATGCCGCCACGAAAAGAGCCCATCCAAATCCAACGAGGTGATCAGTCCAGAGATCCTGAAGATGCGCGCGGCTCTCTTCTGTATCTTCACCTACCTGGATACTAAAACCCTGCTGAGAACTGCTGAGGTCTGCCGTGACTGGAAGTTTGTGGCTCGTCACCCAGCTGTGTGGACCAGAGTGCTGCTGGAGAACGCCCGCATTTCTTCCAAGGTGCATAGCGAACATTTAGACACCATATGCGCTTTAAAAGCCAGTGGCATTATCAAAGCTGTAGCATGTTGCGCATTTAGCTATATCATCTTTTCTGTGTGCCTTGAAGATTTATAACAGATCTCCATGTCTTTCTCTTAGTTCCTGAGCACATTGTCTCAATGGTGCACTCAGACGCACTCACTCATCCTGCAAAACCTCAAACCAAGACAGCGGGGCAAGAAGGAAACCAAGGAGGAATACCTTAAAAGCACACGGTGAGACAGATATACAGCTGCACAATACATCTGCACACAGTTAACCAAAAAAATACCTATTCTTTTATTTACTGCACTGTGTTTTATTCTGGCTTTGAATAGCACATTGCTTTACAAACTATTGAACGTGGTGAGGTTCTAAATGACTCTTCAGTGATTGGTGAGAGGAAGACAACAGGAGGAACATGAGTAATTGAATGCTGATGCTTTTGCGCTGTTTGAGTAAGATCAGCATGTAAATTATCAGTCGCCCTTTCCCGAAAGAAGAAAAGTCAGAGATTTATGTGAAAGGAAAAAGTGAAGTTGTTTGCGTCTAAATGTTTTGTGTAAACGAGACAGCTCGAATCTGCTCTAACAATGCATAGACGCGCTGCTTCCTGCATATATCGCTGCAGACACCGGAGGAACATTTTGTTATGTGTTATAACTGGAAGAAGTGCTGTTTTGAAGGACAGGACAATTACTTCCTCTGCTCTGTCTCTGTCTGTCTTTTTCTGTTGACCTTCCCTTACCTTTCCATCTAAGTGGCTGTCTGGAGGAAGGTCTGGAGGCGTTGTTAAAGGCCACAGGAAGTAACCTGCTGATACTGAAGATTTCACACTGCCCCAACCTGCTGACCGATCGCTCCCTCTGGCTGGCCAGCTGCTACTGCAGAGCTCTGCAGGCTGTAACCTACAGGTAGACCAGTTCACAGAGGTCCCATCTCTATCTGCACACATATTACAGTTTCACCCCGGTGACTTTGCTTTCATGTGTCTGTAAGACTGCAATCAGTTTTGTGCTGTACATGTACAGTGTCACATGTGTGCAGTATAAACACAAATTGTTTACACTTGTTACCAGAAGTGCCACAGATCCAGTCGGCCAGGAGGTGATCTGGGCCCTCGGAGCAGGTTGTAGAGACATCATCTCTCTACAGGTGGCGCCACTACATCCATGGTAACAGACAGAGGAATACACTCTGTACTTTTGATGAACACTTAATCTGTTATGATACCAGTTGTAATAAAATGAATTAACATTAAGTGTATTTTGTGTCTTGTAGCCAACAACCTGCTCGTTTCAGTAACCGATGCTTGCAGACGATTGGAAGATGTTGGCCACACCTCCGCGCTCTTGGTGTGGGAGGGGCTGGATGTGGCATTCAGGGGCTGGCCTCTCTAGGTAAATGTGGCTTGTAATACAACTATTCAATTTTTTGTTTAAATCCTTTCAGTGATCTAAGGGGGCTTTCAGACCTAGAGTTGTCTTGCTTTGGTCTGAATCAGGGACTAATTTTATTGCAAAGTTGCATAATTGCCTAGAGTTGGTTCACGTTCTCATGGCAGCATTTATAAGCGGACCAGATCAAATGCCTTGCACAAGAAAGCTGCTCTTGATTGGACAGAATTTCCATGCGGGAAAAATTAACGTTGTTGTAGATCGAAGTCACCACAAACAAATCGCACCAGAGTTCGTTTGTATCTGAACCGAGACCACCTCTTAAAGAAGGTCTCGGTCTGGTTGTTTTGGTGCTCACCCGAGTGCAATTGCTGTGTTCACACCTGCCCAAACAAACCGCACTTAGGAGGCAAATGAACTTGAGTTCGATTGAACCGAACCAAATGGCAGGTGTGAAAGCACCCTTAGCTACAAAATGTAAAATACATTTTTTATTTATGAAGTATTCAAATCACATGTGCAGAATAAAGGAGAGGACAGAGGTAACATTTGTGGTTAGATGATTAAAGGGAACCTACTATGCTCATTTTCATGTCCATACTTGTATTTAAGGTGTATACTTAAACATGTTTACATGCTTAAATGGAAAAAAAACCCCATTTTATTCTCCTCATCCTGTCTCTGCTGGGACTCCTGTATTCACCCTTTGTCTGAGAGGCTCCGTTCAGCACCCGTCTCTTCAAAAATGAGCCCATTCTGCTCTGATTGGTCAGCGTTTCCAGCTTTTCCATATCATGGCATCTCTGCACCATCATTGCATCCTGGGGATGACTGTGATGGAGAAGCAGCCCTTTCTACCATGAAAAATCACCAGTAATAGCTTCTTAACACCACTGCACATGCTCCAGCAGGAATATGATCCAAAATCAGGGAGAAATTTACAATATTGGCAACCAAGTTTACATGTTTCCCTGACTATAGCATGTAGCTTCATTCCAAAGTAGCGTGCCTGGAGCAGATGACCATACAAAGAAATCCAGCACACCATATTTGATGTCATAGTGTAGCCAGAGTAGACAAAAACAGTTAAAACATTGAGTATTTTGCTCACAGGGGTTACTTTTACATACCCTTACCTCATTATCTGAAACGTTGGCAACGTTTGATATGAGCGTCCTTCATTGTAACAGTATATAGAAGACACAGTACTCGAAAAAGCATCATATGTTCCCTTTAAACAATATCACTGTCATATCAGGACAAACTAGGACAGCACAGATACTGCATGTAATCAGTATCTTAATTTTAAAAAAGCACTACTGGTTGTGACCTTACACAGGCCTTTATGTACTAGTGTAACCCACTGTTCTTATCTTGACACTCTCCTCCTTATCTTCCCCATCTCTGCATTCCCTTGCCTCCATTCACCCTCAGCGAGGAACTGCATGCGTCTGCAGGTGCTGGAGCTGGATCATGTGAGTGAGATCAACCAGGAGGTGGCAGCAGAGGTTTGCAGAGAGGGCTTGAAAGGTCTGGAAATGCTGGTGCTCACGTCTACACCAGTCACCCCCAAGGCTCTGCTTCATTTCAACAGTGAGTATGAAAACTGCTGCACTGATTAATTGTCTAAAAATCCTGCCTCGTGAATAGACAACATTTATCAGTTAACTCTGATTTTAGCACTTAATACTTTTTACACAACACTGAGCTGCAAATGGGCCTTTAATAATGTACTGAACAGTGTTATCTCATGCAGTATTTCTGTGATACAAAGAAATTGTTAACATCAGGAACCAAAAATATTTTGGGTACTGTTTAAAGCTGGAGCAGGCAGAAATCTAAAAATGCAAAACAAACAAAAATGGCAGAATTTGACAACACACCCTCCTCCTGCAGCTCCCCCTCTCTGTCCTAACCCGCCCCCAACAGACAACATATGCGCACACTTCATCTAGCAACCCAGTGTTTCCCATACACTGATTTATTTAATCTTATTTCAGTGTATGGTTCCATACTGCAGATTCGCTCACCCCTGCTCTCTTTCTTTGTTTATCAGATCAGTGATCTGTCGAGAATTAGCTAGCTAGTTATTGGCTCACCCCACAGTCCCTCCGCCTTGCTCCCCGCCTCTGCGGACTGCTTCCCGGGAGACAAGTGGCCACTAACTCTGGAGACCAAGCTTCTGTCAGCGGATGTAGCAGCTCAAATTCGGCCAGCACAAACCCCTGAGTGCTGGGTGTCACAGTGGGCTGGTGTGCTAACCTCTGTAACAGCAGCCACAGAAAGTTGGCTGATCTGGCAGGGAGTCAAGGCTGTCTTGCATTGACTAGATTTGGGTTGCTGCAGCCGCTGACTAGGGGTTCATCTCCGGAGCTGCTGCCCACTCTCCTTTTGGTGAGGTAGTCTGTAGCGGCGGTGAGTAAGGCGGAGGACACACTGTGATTCAAGGCTTTAGCTAGCATTAGTTACATAAACGTGAACTTGAAGCTGCAGTCATGAGTCTTTACCTCCGGTTAGCAGAAGGCGAAACTGTTAGCAACATTTTCTCTCCGTCTTTGAAACACTTTGTCAGACACTCTTTTAGACTCTCTTTTTGATAAGTCCGTCTCTCTTTTTTTGGGGTTGCTTTGCAGTGTGGGGAGTCGTTGCCAGTGCTTGAATAGCAACTCTCTCTGCAGGATTCTTGGCCATTGAATTTGTATTTGTAGAACAGCCCATAGGAGCACCCTCTCTCTGATATGACCTGTGATTGACTAAAGTTTATTATGGGATCTTTGCCCAATAATGTCAAGATTAAACTGCCTAACCCAGCTTTATGGTTAAAAGATAATAATAAGAATAATAATCCACCAAATAACAAATGCTGCTCAAATCCTCCCTCCACTCACGTAGGTGTGTGCCGTAACCTGAAGTCCATCGTGGTCCAGATTGGTATAGAAGACTACTTTGAGGACCCCAACAGCCCTGAAGCCAGGAAGTTGTTTGATGAGATGGTTAACAAGCTGCAGGTAACAGCACCTCTGTGTCACACATCACAGGACAGGGAACACACGCCATCAGCCACCACTCATACATGAGCACATACAAGTCTCCATGTTCAAGAAATCTGTTGAAACTCATGACCTTTCCTCTAACGACATAATCTGGCTGAAGTTTCCGTAAGTAAGCACATAAATAATATTTTATGTGCTGATTAAAGCTTCCAACAGAAAGAAGCAATGTTTTGGGTTTTCCCACACACTTATTCAATTACTGTGTAACTACTCTCTCCATCAATGTGGTGTTGACTTTGTCAGGGTAATGGCTAACAGGGAGGTACTTGGAGTTTTGCACCACTGTATGCACATGACTAACAGCTTGGCCCGTACTTCTTTAGAGGATAAGATGCATCTATATTTATCACAACTACACACACAGTTTAAACCATGACTCAATCCTTGAAGTCCCAGTGATGGTTGGTTGTGGATGTGCGGCTGCTAACTCACTCGAGCAGAGGCTCACTGTGAGAGGCTCGGGTCACCCTTATAGCTGACCACACACAAACAGAGATATAAAAGCTGTGAAATCCCTGGTTTTATTTATGCTTTGTTTTTATGACTCAGTTTTACAGTGTGTTCCTCTCAGATATCACACTCAAGATGGTGGGGTTGCTCACAGCAGTTAGGTAACCTCTCCAAATGGCTGTGATTTATTTTTATCCCTCCCTCTTTAAGTTTGCTGTGAAGAGGGAGACAAAGTTCTCCTCTCGTGTTTAATCATGCTGTTTTTTTTTTTGAAAGGAGTTCTGGAGAGGTGAAGCTTATGAAGCAACGCCGTCATCCTTAACCCGCTGCACCTCAGTGCTTTACAGTTTTTTATAGCTTTCTGTCATACACCAGCTACTGTACACACTTCCTGCTAACGGAAAAAAACATAAAGGTATGAAGAGAACAGAGGGAAACGGCAGCTGAGTCCTGAGAAGAAAATGTCGCAAACCACAAATACATTACATATCACATCAACATTTCTATACTGACTTTGACACAGGGAGGCGGAGGGGAAGGTAGATGGCATGACACTCAGGCGAGACACCTGCCAAGCTGTAGACCACTTTTCGAGACCAACAAACAGCAAAAGCAGTTCTGTTTTACAAGTCATTGCTTTGTTTTTATCGGATTTTTGGGCTTCAAACATGGGTGGTTTTTTTTTAGCAAGCTATCAGCAGAGGTAGTGGCACAAGAGCAAGTTTTTTTTCACAGAGACATTGCCGCTTTCCCATACCCTGGAAATCCAGAGTTCTCGCGAGAGCACAATTTGAGTTTGCTCAGCGAGTCACTTTGGCAATCAGTAATGATGCTCATTACCTATGCCCATGAAACCGAGCTACACCAATCACATCGGTGTATCTGATATAGGCGGGCCAGAGGCGAGCTAAACAGATGACGACAGCGCTGCGACAACAAAGTCCGGAATCAGTCAGTAAACATTGCAAGATGGCTACAGATGAACACCAGTTGTTTGAAACAGCTTTGGTAACTACAATGAACGAGTTAGACTTGGATTTTTCTCTAAAAGAGGAACAGAAGACGGCGCTTGAATCTTTCCTTTGCAAGAAGGACGTTTTTGCTGTTTTGCTGACCGGATACGGCAAGAGTCTAATCTACCAGTTAGCTCTGCTGGTAGCTAAGAGTATACGTCACCCCGTGTATAGTTCTGATTGGTCATAGTGATATCCAATTGCATGCAGTGATATTTACAAATGCATGCTTGGTGCCGCCCCTCGAGTTGGGCCATTTTCATTACTCATAGCCAGACCCTAAATCTTTCTAGATTTGGGTCTGGATTTCCAGGCTAGCTTTCCCAGCCGGGATTGTACGAAAGGGATGGTAAATAGACTTGCACTTTTGTAGTGCCCTTCTAGTCTTCTGACCTCTTAAAGCGCTTTAACACTTCTTGTCACATTCATACACACATTTATACACTGGTGGCCAAGGCTACCATACAAGGTGCCACCTGCTACTCAGTTACAGTAAACATTCATACATTCAGTATCTTGTCCAAGGATACTCGGATTGAACAGCTGATCTCTTGATAAGTGGACGACCCACTCTACCTCCTGAGCCACAGCTACCTGTTGTGCCCTTCTTTTTCTAGCCATAAACAAGTGTTAACTGTGACTAAACCTCACCCCACTTTGTTGAAACATGAAGTTCCTGCGTATCCAATACAGAATATGTAAATGTTTTGTATCAGGGGTTTGCAGACACGTACAATGCCAACATTTTTTTCCTGACAATTGGGTTTGAAATGAAGCACTGTTGACCGTCGGATATTTAGAAAAAAATAAATCACGGACAGTTTCTTTTGAGAAAATGAAATTCTGATATCACTTTCTCCCTTTTTCATCCAGGCTCTGAAGAAGAGACCGGGCTTCTCCAAAATCCTCCACGTGAAAGCAGACAGTCTCTGCTAACATCTTTTGTGCAGATTCTTCAAGTCTTGGAGAGGTGCCATCTTGGCTCCAGTCGATCAAAAAGACCCAGCTGTTTTGAGCCCCCTCCACAGGGTTGAATACGTCTGCAGCACCGACAGAAACAACAGAAGACCGCCATGATGAACCAGGACCGAGGCTCAATGTGCATACTCCACAAGTACAAACTTCAAACAGAAAAAAAAAAAACAAAACTCATTCACCACTCCGGTACGGGGAAATCAATATCTCCTTCATGTTGGTTATGACTGAACAAACAGTCAGGAGACTTATTTGGACAAGCAGTGGCACCATATATCACATAAAGGGCCTGTCTTAAACCTTACAGACTCAAATAACACAACAAAACTGTCAGATTTCTTGTTCTCAGTTGTCTTCTGCGTTCACCGTGAAAATGGTGGGAAAAAAAGCGCTGTATTTAACTGTCTGCATCTACGCAATGCTTGACATAAACTACCTTCAACACCAACAGCTTGCAGGCAGGAGCACATAATGAAGCGTGCATACTTTCCGCAGAAGTACATAAAATGGTGGCAGGAGTAAGAAATTATAGAGAAATTGATTCCCTCGAGAGATCTTGAGCTATCAAAGTAAAGAGTCTCGAGACGGGAGCTTTATGTTTGAGGCGTGATCCGAGGATTGAATAAGTGGTTTTTCCCATCCTGCCCGCCCTACACTCTGCTGTGTGTTGAACAACTTTCAACACGTACTGCTTCCACCCGGGAGAGAGACAGGCTGCACCAGCTCCAGGCACAGTGGAGAGAGCAAGGACAGCCTCCCTTGTAAAACACAAATCTTGACAGTCTTCTTAGCCAATTGCATGGCAGCGATGCATTTACCCTCTTCTACCATCCTCTCTGCTTCCCCATGTGAACGGCGTCGTGTCACTAACCTGGACTCAAGAGTTTTTGGACAGTTGTAGTATCTGTGAGAGAACAGGACGCAGTATCTGATGCTGCTCAGGCCGGAAGGATGATCCATAATGCATTTCTCTCAAAAACTGGTGCCATTTGTAACAGTGTCTGTCCTCATTCCAGTGAGCGTTTTCTCCAATGTGCCATTAATGAGGGAAGAGGGACCATGTACAGTAAAGCAGGTGTTTAATCTCGTCAAATCATCACTTATAGCAGATTGATTTGAGTGTAAGCAGCTCTCACTGAGCATAAGGGTGTTGTGTTTCATACGGAACATGGTCTCCAGGTGTATACAAGTGTTACAGTGTTTATATATCATGTGACTTTCATACTTTACCATACTAAACAGTGCCATTCCTATTAATAGTGCTCGTCATGGCTGAGGCCCTGATCAATCCTTGGTTGTATTTTTCAGCTGACGTCCTCTGGCTCCATCTGCTGGTTGTTTCCAGGCAATTACACAGCCATCGGACAGCTGGTGTTATGTGACACTTTGTACTCTTTGCAGCAAGGAACAAGTATCACCGTTACTGTTTTGCAGCAGTCAGAACCAAGGAATCAGGTCATCGGTATCACCTTCAAATGAGGCGCAATTCGCGGCTACAATTGAGTTTAGCCTATGTTGCAGAGATTCTCAAGAAGTATGAGTAGCAATACTTACTGTGGGTGAATGCTCCTCTGTGCAGATAATGTAAGGGGGGTTCCAACAATTTTGCACATCCACTGGTTTATTATTCACAAGAATTAAAACTCGGCCTTTGGAAAAAGTTGTATAACGCCGACAATGTTGCCAAGTCTGAGAAAATAACCCTTGCAGTGTTATATTGGCTTGGAAAGTACAAATTAATAGCACAGAAAGCTGCATTACAAGCTGGAGGGCATGTCGTTTGAAAAAATGTGGCTTGACCCATACTAGGGACCAAAAGTCAGGATTTTTCTGCCTTTGCTGCATTGATTTTTTTTTTTTTTTAATTCAGTCTCTTGGGAGTCCTTGAACATAATGAAAGTGCAATAGTAAATGACTGCCGTTCCTATTTGACACTTAAAATCACTTTGCTTTAAAAAAAATCTTGCACACAGGTTTGAAACAGGTTGAAAAAGTGATTCACACATCAGGCAGAACATCACGCCCCCCCTTGCTTAACAAGTTGTTCATTTTACATTGCACATCTTGTTTGTCTCCACAACACACGTTCGTGGGCGGAGTGTGCAACAGAGCAGGAGGGCCAAGCAAGTGTTGGGGCACGTCACGGGTGCTCTGAAATCTCAAAAAGTCACTGATGAGGATGTTTTTCCGGGGGGGTCTCTGCTTTATTGTCAAAATCGTGTTTATGAGGACTTGTGTAGCTGCATATCGTAGTGATGGTATTCCAGGTGAGTGTGTGAGAACAGTTGTGGGTGTCCAGTTATTCATGTTCTTCCAGTGCTGCATATTATTATCCTACACTGGTACTGATTCATTTGAGGGAAGTCGGTTCGTGGGGAAGGTGTAAAACTTTGCTGACACAATAGAGAAAACACAAAGCACTTGTCGATTTTAAGTTTTAGACAATCCTGCCTTCGCTATCAGCTACTCTGTACATAGTGTTTGTAAAAAACAAAAGAAAAACAACAAAAAACAAGAAAAAAAAGGACCAGTATTTGATGTTATATAATATTAAGGTCATACTTATGAGTGGAAAAAGTTGAAGTTTACAGGTCTTCATTCTGTAAGCATTTTCTCTCCAAAGTTGAATGAAAGATAAACATAGAGAATTATATTATGTATAACAGTAGTGTTGAAATTGCAGTTGTGTATTAGATACTTTATATTAAATGTGCATCAGAGTCATATAGAGATGGAAATTATTTAAGAAGAGGATAAAGATGATAATTCAGCTATTTATTTCTATAAAAAAACGAGTAATGTGTATAATGTTAGCATGTTTGTGTTCGAGCATCAATCATTAAGTTGCCTTCTTAACTGTTCTGCTACTGTGACGAGAAAAATTATTAGATGTTTAAAGAGCTTTGATTGCCTGCAGGTTAATAACGTTTCTCTTTATTTGATCCAGTCTGTTGTTGCACTAGTGAGAAAAAAAAAAAAAAGATATTTCAGATGTTTATTATAAGAGTGTTGTTTTTAATGTTCAGCTATTTCTCAGTATTTGACAAAATATGATGCACTTTTTTTCCTGAACACTTTTATCGGCCCGTTGGTCGTTGGTTTAGTCAAAAAACGACGATGGTTTCTGTCAGCGGGATACTCGGCGGCGTTTTTAGTCGTGGTGTGAAACTGAATGTCCACTTACACGTTTGGTTTCATGGGAGGAAGATTCTGGAAATACAGCGATTACATATGAACTTGTGTGACTGAACACACGTACAGTTAGCCTCTTTTCTCTTACACCATCTCTCATGTCTCATCAGTTGGGAAGTTGAAGATTGAAACCGATTGAACGACATTCAAGTGCTTTTTAGGTTCATTGCCAATATGACCTTATGCTCTCCTTCGTCTTTGTTCCTGTCTTTTAATTTAGTTTTGCATTGTACTGTAGATCTCACGCTCATACTGATACTTACCATTTGCTTTATTGTGAAAATGGACCTGCTGAAGATGTAACAGAGCTTGTGTGCTCTGAAACTGCAGATTAGAGGTGCCAAGTACGGCCAGAATCCTTTTTTGGCTTACATCTCCACTCTCTGCCTCTCCAAATATAAAGCAGAATCATGTCTAATTTATTTATTTCTGATTCAGAAACTGAAGCATCACTTATGAACCAAGGTGCTTCCTCATTCTCATGTTTATTTCATATTTAAAAGATTTATTCCTTCTCTCTGTGCATTTAAAAACAAACAGTGTCTGAGTGTCCATGTACCTCTCTGTACATATTTTATGTATGAATGATTGTACTCTGCCCGTTCATCTGAATAGTATTTTACACATTACCTCAACACTTATCTGGGCAATTAAGTGTGCAGTTTGTCTTTGTAATTTTTTTTTCTTTTGTGTCAGTTTTGACTGCCATCGACAGGTACGACCCATGAACTTCATCCATGTTGCTACGACAAACAAAATGGATTCTGTCGCTTAAATAAACTTTCCCAAAAGATGATCAGCCTTCTGCGATGACTGCAATAGATGGAAATGTTTTACTACTCATTTTCACTCATTTGTTGTCATCAATAAAATTGCTTTAAATTGTATTTGGTCACGCTCTGAGCTGCTTTATGAATTAATGTCTGAAGGAATTGTAGATTACTATACATTCATTTTCTGTGGCTGCTTATCGTGTTGGGGATCGTGGGGGCGCTGGACCACCCTGGACAGGTCGCCAGGCTATCATAGGGCTGACACATAGAGACACATAGAAACAATTCACACTCACATTCACACCTACAGGTAATTTAGAGTAATTTAGAGGACTGTGGGAGGAAGCCGGAGTACCCATTGAAGGCCCACGCTGACATGGGGAGAACATGCAAACTCCACACAGAGGGGCTCCCCCACCCTGGGTTTGAACCATGACCCCTATTGCTGTGAGGCCACAATCCTAACCACTGCACCGTCATGACACCGGACTACTATCACGGCTGCAAATTAATTTCTTGAGCTACTTTTCACTGACACAAGATCAAAGTGAGGTCTGTGGATTATCCAGCACACCACTTGTCATTAATGTCTGTGTGTATTTTGAGCACCACAAAGCTCCATTAAACCCTTAAAACAACTATTCCTGTATACTTAATTGATCTGTTTCACCAAAACCCGAGATAAGTTTACCCTCCGGCGATTGAATGGTTAAGTTCTCTGCGGCCTCACGTGTTCCACTGCTGGACCCGGGACTCCTGCCAGAACTTTGTCCCTGTGTTTCCCTCTCTTGCTTTCCAACTGCCTGAATGAAGGAGGAGGGGGAGTACACTTCCCACAGAAAACAAGGTTTCACTTTTAAAGCCTTCACACAATCACAGTGCACAACATCAGTGCAAACCCACACCAGCTGATTTTATAACGTTTCTCAGAGATAGGAGGTGTTTTTTTTCTACAGCTCTACTAATAAATCAGTAGATCAGCAATGACTCAAAGGTTGAGGTGTGATTTGAAAATGATATGACAGAAAGGCTGCAGCTCTGTGTGGATTTTAACCTCATGTAGCTTGTTTTGGTTTCATAGCACACACATACTACACAAAGCCTTTTTCTGCAGACATTCTTAACGCATTTAAAGTTGTGGCAATACTCTGCTGATCATGCCAACCAACACCAAATGGAAGACCAAGTTAGGCAGCTACCTGGGAAAGAAGACAAACTATAGGACCCAGATATTTTTGGATGTACATTCGTCATGTGGAGATTAAAACATGACCCAGAATCAATACTCATGAATGATTGTATGTTTATATGTTAACCATAACAACTTTATGAGGAAGTAATGTATCAGCTCTGTGTGTTTTTCCTGAAGTTTATTTCACCAGAAGAACATTTTCCTAAATCAAACTCTGCATGACCATGCTGTGGCTAAGCTCTGCCATGAAATGTAACATGAGCTCTGATTGGCTGTGAGGTGAAAGTGTTGGCCGGCTCAACCATGTCTGTGCCCTTGAGGTGTCAGAAGAAGATGAAGCTCTTATTACATCTTACAGTGGATTACTAAAGTTTTGCAACAACAAGGCCCCTGAGAGCCCTTAAATAAAGGGAGAACTAAAGTCTTTTTAATAACCATATTGATTAATTTATTTGTCAGTTTAAATTATTATTATTATTTTAATTTAACCTCTGTCTGTGAGGCTTCTTAGTCACGTAGGCCAAAGTATATCTAGAAGTGCAAGTCCTAACTCAGCAGTATTAGATAACATTATTGTCTATACTGAATCTGCAATATATTAGGTATATGTTGTGACGCACATCTCCTCATCCCTCAACCATTCAACCCCCATCCCTTCATCCCTTCATCCCTCAATCTTAGACCCTTATCCCTTCACCCCTCATCCATTTGACCCTCAACCCTTTATCCCTTCGACCCTCATCCCTCATTCATCTGACCCTCATCCCTTCATCCCTTCTCCCTTCAACCCTCATCTCTTTATCCCTCAACCCTCAACCTTCTACCCTAATCCCTTCATCCCTTAATCCCTCATCCATTTGACCCTCATCTCTTCATCCCTCACCCTACAACCCTCATCTCTTTATCCCTTATCCATTTGACTCCCATCCCTTCATCCCTCCTCCCTTCGACCCTTCATTCATCACTCTTCATTCCTTGATCCTCAGCGTGTCATCCCCAACCATTTGTCCATCGACCCTTATCCCCTCATCACTTCATCTCTCAACCTGGGACTCTCATCCCTTCATTCCTCATCCCTTTGACCCTCATCCCTTCATCCCTTAACCCTTCGACCCTTGTCTCTTCATCCCTCATTTGTTTGACTCTCAACCCATTGATCCTCATCTCTTCATCTCTCAACCTTTGACCCTCATCTCTTCATCCCTCATCCATTTGACCCTTGACCCTCATCCATTCATCCTTCACCGCCTCATCTCCCCATCCTCATCCTTTCATCCTGCACCCTTCATCCCTTGACCCTTATCCCTTTGTCCTTCATCTCCAACCCTTATCCCCTTATTCCTTGACCCTTCATCCCTCATCCATTTGACCCTTCATTCATCCCTCATCTACTTGACCCTCATCCCTCCATCCCTCCTCCCTTCAACCCTTCATTCATCACCCTTCATTCCTTCATCCTCAACCTGTCATCCCCAGCCCTTCATCAATTTGTCCCTCAACCTTCATCCCGCAACCCTTCGACCTTCATCACTTCATCCCTCAACCCTTCAACTCTCATCCCTTCATCCCTCATCCATTCAACCATCGACCCTCATCCATTCATCCTTCACCCTTCACCCTCTCATCCCTCCACCTTCATCCTTTTGTCCTGCGCCCTTCATCCATTGACTCTTATCCCTTTGTCCTGTATCTCTGACCCTTATCCACTTATTCCTCGACCCTCATCCCTTCATCCTTATTTTTTCATTCTCTAATCCCTTCATCCTCATCCCTTCATACTTAATCCACCATATGCAATAAACCATTCAAATCCCTACCTTATTGGTGAGGTCTTTGTTACTGAGCTGCCAATTAAACGTCTAAAATACACAGCAAAATCTTTTTTTCCTACAATTAAAGACGTTTGTTTTCCAGCTGTGAGCAGCTCCTTCATGTAATTTGTGCATTGCATTATGGGAGAATAGCATGAATCGACAGCCCACTCAGAAATCGACCTCACTTAGTATGCACGCTGTGCGGTTTGAGTATACTCCATTTTGTGACCTTTCTACTGTGAACACACTGCATACTCAACACCTGCTTATAACAGTGCGCAGTAAAGATTTCTGACACAGCGAGTGATCTTTTGTCTGTGCTGAGTGCGCGACTCTTTCTGTTTGACTGATGTGGCTGCACATTAGATTGCCTTTAATTCTAACAGCCGCAATTAGTAACAGGAGAACGACAGAGATCTCAATCAGGCACAGTTTGCACACACCCACACAGTCCTGACAGGAGAGGTCTAATCAGGCCAGAAAGTGAAAACACCTGTGTGTGTGTGTGTGTGTGTGTGTGTGTATATATACAAATCGGAGAGCCAGTTTCAAAGCTCTGGGTGGCTGTTTATCAGTAGACAAACTGTGTTGGCACCATCTCTAAATATTGGCTTGTTAAATTTTTGGATGTCTGTCATGTTCTCACACTGGAACTTTGGTCTTTCTGTTCCTTCTCTTCCACCAAGTTACCATCTGATGCTCCTTGATATTTATGGCTGGCAACAAGTTGACGTCCAGGAAATGTATTAGCTCTGTCCTTGGCACATAGTGTGTCACAGAGCTCGATTTCTGTAGCTGTGGCCCTCTTCAGACATGGTATTAACATACGTTTGGGTGATCACAAGTAGACAGCCAAGACACATCATTGTTCACACCTGTACCTATCACGTGTCTCAAGATGACCGCTTGTGCTCAGATTATGTTACTGCCTGGTGCACAGTTATCAAGTCCACACTTCTGCTAGCTGCTCTGCAGTATGCCCACTCGTCACGTTAGCAGACGGTCAGTACAGCTGGAGATGTTGCTGTTAGCAGAATTCAACACGTCTCCCTCCATAGGGCAAAACGAACGACGGTTTCGCAACATTTCACCCAACTTGACATAAAATGGGTATGCTAGAGAGCATCAGCCCGCTGTCACCAACAATCACCACGTCCTGCATTGATGTCGTAGTCTTTGGCGGGGACACATCAGGATGCGTTAGTATTTACATTACCAAAGATATGTAGTCAAATGTGTCCCAGACCACCTTGGCAAATGGTTTGAGTGATGGGATCACAATGCAGCTTGGTGGTTGTTATTTGGCGCTGTCCACTTGTGATTGGATCGACCAAAATGCATGTTAATACTAGATCTAAACAGAGCCTTTGTTCATCCAAGTCTACAAAGAATGGCATCTCTATTAGCTTCAATGAAGTGGTTAAAAACTACAAATATATTCATTTAAGATAAGATTTTATTTTATGTTTTTCCATCTTGATGGGAGTGCTATTACAAAACGCTCGAGTGCCTCTGTCATCAGTCTCATGACATGAAGTGATTTGCCATGCCTCTTGCTAATAAGTAGAAATGAAATAGAGCATTTTAAAACTAATTTTTCTGTTTTCTGTTGCCAAATAAAACTTTCCCGGCTCTTCTCAGCCTCTGATCGTGTTTGTCACCGAAGAAGAGGATTAACACTGTTGTCCAACAGAAGTGAAGACTGGGTTGAGGTCTGTTCTAACACCATCTGTCCCTTTGGCTCAGCGTTATGGCTTTGGCGCCTTTTCTTTTTCTTTCCATGTGCACTCACTCTCTGCCTCGCTCTCATAGATTTAAAAGGGTGATAGTATGGAAACAGCTCCTGCCTGTGGTTGTACTTTCCTGGAAAATATTCATGAGGACAGGAGGTGAAGGGAGAGCAGATACCCGACGGCTACACTAGTGCGTTTAATATTTACATAAATTAAGAAGACTGGTCGTGTTAGATGATAGAACTTTTATTTTGTTAAAACTTTCTCAATTTTTATGCATCATTTTCATTATTTTTGAAATAACATAACAATACGTACAGAAGGCACTTACAAAAACAAGTTAAATTACAGATGCTGTTATTATCAACATTATAT